CATTTTCTTCCTGTTCGGGGATTTCTATGATGCGAATGTTATTATGTTTCCCGTTGTCCCACAGTTCTCTTAAGCTATCTTCCGGTTTTGTAATCATTTTTTTTCTTTCGGTTTCCTGATTGGTTACTTTTTTCTACCCTGTCTTCTAATTCACTGATCCGGTCCTCAGCCTCCTCTACTTTGCTGGTTAGTCCTTCTAATGTGTTCTTTATTTCTGATATGTCGTTCTTCATTTCTTCTTGGTGGTTTTTAATTTTCAACTGGTTGGTTTACAACATTTCTATGTCTTTACTCATGGTGCTCATGTCCTTACACATGCTGTTGAGCTTCCTCAATATTATGGCTCTGAATTTAGTTCTGTTAACTTGCTTCACTGCTCCACATTTATCTCATCTTCGATAGAATTCTCTTGTTCTTTCATCTGGTATTTGTTTCTTTGTTTCACCAATTTGGCTATCTCCGTGTGTTTTGGAGCCTGCCAAATTTTCCCTGTGGGTGTTGGTGTTCTGCTGTTTGTGGCTCCCTCTACTAGGTTCGGATGAGCTTGGGTGGGCTCACGTTAAACACCACTGTCAAGTCTTACTTTTCTGCGTAGATTTGCAAGCCCAGGAAAGGTTCTGTTATCCTCTAGCTTTTTCTTGGTGTCTAGTAGTCTCAGTTACTCAGGGCCTTGGAATGTAGCCCTGGTGTTCTGCCAGTGTCCCTGGTTATATGGTTCTGTCCTGCTGCTCTTATTGCTTTTTTCCAAGGATTTGTCTTTATTTTAGTTGTAATTCCCATTTGGTCCTGGGAGATTGTCTGTGTGGCTTCTATTCACTCCGCATCCTTTTTCATATCCTCTAAGCCTGTTTGTGTGCAGCTGGGTCGCACAAGCCTTTCTGGTGCCCCCGCACCCTGCAGGTCCCTGGGTAACTGAATTGCACAGTCCCTCTGGGGAGCTGGCTCTATGCCTATGTTATGTGCTGCTGGGTCTTGCAGGCCTCTCTGGTGCTTTAGCATTCCACAGTCCCTATGGGTATCTAGAGTGTGCAGTCCCTGCTGGGTGGCACAGGCCTCTCTGGTGCTTCAGCACTCCGCAGGTCCTGCGGGTAACTGGATGGCACATTCCCTGCTGGGTTGCACAGTTCTCTCTGGTGCTTCAGTACCCCACAGGCCCAATGGGTAACTAGATCTCACAGTCCCTGGTGGTTGGCACAGGCCTTTCTGGTCCTTCAGCACCCTGCAGGTCTCGTGGGTAACTGGATGGCACAGTCCTTGCTGGGTTGAGCAGGCCTCCCTGGTGCTTCAGCACCCCACAGGTCCCATGGGTAACTGGATGGCACAGTCCCTGCTGGGTCACACAGGCCTCTCTGGTGCCCCCGCACCCTTTAGTTCCTGTGGGCTGGCAGTCTCTCTTGGGCTCCAGCTTCCCACTACTCTTGTGGGCTACTAGGTTGCAGAGGCCTCTCTGTTGCCCCAGCACCCTGCAGGTCCCACGGGCAGGCAAATGGATTGCACCAGTCCCTCTCGGGCTCTGGCTTCCCACTGCTTTTGTGAGCTTCTGGACTACGCAGGCCTCTGTGGAGCCCCAGGTCTCGCAGCTGGTGGCTGGGGAGTGCTGCTGCCCCGTGGGGCTCAACTCCTGCTCAGCTTTTTCTGTAGATTTTGGGGATGGGTCTTATCTGCTAGTCTGTGCTTCTGTTGCCTTGGGATGAATTTCTGATCCCCAGCCTCTGTTTCTGGGGGTATATGTGGACTCTTTTTGGGCTGCTACCGTGGGGGATGGTGCTGGGCTCCTGGCTGCCTGAGGCTTCCCCGACCAGCACCTTGGGAGCTCCACCACTGTGCATTGGTGTGTGTTGACACAGAGTGTCCACTGGTCCGATGGTGCCAGGTGCACTCATGGGCTCAGGTTGCTGGGCCCTAGCTGCTCCCACTGCCTCCTCTCAGGGGAGACCCAGGATCTTCCAAATGGTGGGACCTCCAAGCTGCACAGGGAGAAGCACCCTAAAGGGCCACTTACCGTGGTAGCCGGCTGCTCCCGTCCATGGCACAGGAACCTTATGCTCTGTGTCTCTGCACTGTAGTGGTTTGGTTGTCCACCTTCACGTTCTCTCACACTCTCACCCTCCCTCTGTTCCTGCCCGCCGCCATCTTCCCCCCTCTCTACTGGGTTTCGATGAGTATGGCAGGGTCTGTGTTAAACACCACTGTCACGTCTTACTTTCCTGGGTGGATTTCTAAGCCTAGGGAAGGTTCAATTATTCTCTAGTTTTTTGCCTGGAGGCAATTAGTCTCAGTTATGTGATGAGCCTTTGGTTAAAGCCCTGAGCTTTTTTAAAAAAATCCCTTAGGTGTTCAAGGTAAGAGGATTTCCAGAAAGTGGGGCAGGTGCTTACTGGCTATTAATGAGCCTCAATTTGCATTTCTTTGGCCTGGCTGGGTGGTTTTAAATTCCTGAAGGATGGGCTGTGCTTCTTCCTGGGGCTCTGAGAAGGGGCTCTTCAAGCAAGACAGCTACTGTCCCATGATGGATGACTCAGCAAGAAACTCCTACTGCTGTCCCAGCTCTCCCAGTTCTTTATGCTCCTGAGTCGTTCCACACAGTGCCAAACCAGTCTGGCAGCGGAGTGTATGTTTTAAACCTCTGACAACTAAAGCTGTCTCCAGCAGCACAGAGCCCTCATCCCTGGAACTCTTTTGATTCTCTACTTGAGTAAGTCTCTGGCCTGGATAGTTTGAAAGGGTGGAAGTTTGGATTTTATGGTCTTTGAACCTCCTTCTAAGGATTCCTTCAAAGATTCTGTAACTACAAGTAGTAATGTAGAGGTTTTCATGAAGTTCATGATGTGGCCATTGAAACCCATGGCCTAGGTTTCTGCTCATGTCTCCTCCCATTTTATTGCCCCATCTATGTGGTCACCACCCATAGTCAACTTCTTCTCTTTTGTACTGCTTTGTTCTTATTAGAATGTAACCCTTTTTGAAGACCCCCTCCTCCCATCTCTAAGGTTTAACTCAATTTCACTTTCTCCTCTATTCTCCATTGTATCTCTAATAAAGTCCAACTTAATTTTTAAAAAATATGTTTTTATTGATTTTTTAGAAAAGGAGGAAGGGAGAGATAGAAACATTGATGTGAGAAACACCAATTGGCTGCATCCTGCACGCCTCCTACTGGGGATCGAGCCTGCAACCTGGACATATGCCCTGACCAGGAATCAAATGGGACTTCTCAGTGCATGGGACCATGCTCAATCCACTGAGCCACACTGGCCGGGCTGTCTAACTCATTTTTATACTTATGCTTTCCCAGCTTTCCCCCATTCCCAGGGTCTTACTTGTTACCTTGCTTACTGTGATTGTACAATAATTTATAAAGATTAAATTAAATAGGGGGACTCTTGGAACTGAACGAATCAGTCACCAAGAGTACATTTCGAAAAGGAGATTCAATGTAGATAAATGGCTGTATGTGATAGATATCACATAAGAAGTCTTAGAGTTTTGGAGTTGGAAGGTACTTACTTGTGAGATCATTTAGTCTGATCTCTTCATTTCATGTTTTGGCCCAGAGAGTAACTGGCTATTACTCAAAGGGTAACTCACACAGTCGGTCGCCTAGGGAGTCTGGAACTCATACCAAGGCCAAGGCAGCTCCCTTATGTGGCCCCTCGTTGCCCACCAGAATTGTCAAAAATAGGGCAAGTTTAAGTTTAATTTTAAATACAATTTGAGGACTGGGAGTCTCCTGTGAGAATTTTTAGTGACTTTTGCTATTTTTTTTTGTTTAAGCAATATAGTTCAGACTTTGTTAAGTCATTATGGCTGAATTCAGCTGGTGTCTTCTGGGACAGCCTGTTATCATTTGCATCATTTAATGCTTTGTTATTTGGGCAGGCTCAATAAAGCACTTAGGAGATTAGAGTTCTGCAGCTGGAATAAATCATAAGGCAAGGTGCCCATTCCTGTGCAGGGTGTCAGACTCCAGTAATGACCCTGCAGTAAAAGATGATTAGCTAACAACCATGGACACGATCTAGCAGGCTGCTGGAGATTTAGGGGCCTGCCTTGTCCAAGATTAAACAGCTACAGAGAGCATCCCGGACAAGGTTAAAAACAACAGGCGAACAGCAGATTGAGAAATTTTATTGGTATAATTATTACCTATTATCATTGAATACACTTTATTTCACTTTGTGAAAAACTGAGTGAATGAAATCTCTAGTTTTCCTTTTATCTTACAAATGATTTTGTATTTTCTGTAATTTTATCATCATTAATCGCCCTGCTTTTCAGACTGGCAATAGCAAGGGTGTAGCAAATATTTTCTGGACTCAGGGTCAACAGGCGCTGAAGGATCATATGATGACAAGCAAGACTATTTGCTGTGAGCAGGTGTCTGTCGGACATGGTAGGGTGGGACACTGTCAGAGAGATGGTGTCTTTCTGTTTTCTCATAATAACCAGTACTTTTTTGTAGCTCTCAGCCCAATGGCAGTTAAATATGTGGCTGTGTGATTATTTATTCTGTGTCCGGCTAGCCTTCTGTATGCTCCTGAGGGCAGGGCGTGGGTCTCTCTTTTTCTCTACATTCCAGATCCTCTCACAGTGTCTCCCAAGCTGAAATATTTGTTGACTGAGTGAATGGGTACATGTATGTAGGAAAGTATGCCTGTTGAATTTAAGGATAAACCCAGGTTGTAGTGTAGTAGAAAATTGCACAGACCCTTGGGCAGAATTCCTGAATTCAGCTATCTCTCTGACTTTTAGCTGTGTGACTTTGGGCAACTCATTTAACCTCTGTGGGCCTCTGTTTTTCATCATGTGTAAAATGGGGTTTGCAGTTTCAATCTTAGGGTTGCTGTGAGTATTAAATGAGTTAATCCAGATAAAGCATTTAGTATAGGGCTGGCAGTAATAAATGCTCAATAAAAACTAACTTTTATTATTAGTTAATTACATATATGATGGCTAATGAGAGGTGTTTGAAGCTTTTTTTTTTTTCTCCTCCCATGCAGCTTTTGGATTGCTTTGGGATTCCTGTGTTGATGGCTCTCTCATGGTTCATTCTTTATGCAAGATACAGAGTGATCCACTTCATTGCTGTGGCTGTCTGTCTGCTGGGGGTAGGGACTATGGTTGGTGCAGACATATTAGCAGGGAGGGAAGACAACTCAGGTAAGACTGTTACTTGTTTATGGTTTTGCTTAGGTTTTCGCTTTTACTTTTCAAATACATAGTAAAAGGCAGGAAACATGTCTGAGTTAACTGTCTTTACCATTTTATTTTCAGATTTACTTGCTTCTTCTGGTATTGTAACCACTTCCCAAAGCACTCTTTCTGTTCCTACCTGCCCACAGTTCTTGTTCCTTTTTGTCACATTAGTTTTGTTTTGTTTCATGAAAGAAGTTTCTTTATGTATTTGCAATTTTCTTTTGGCCCTTACATTTGTATTAGTTACTGGAAAACCTACTATAGACTCTTTTTTTTTTTTTTTTTTTAATCAAATAGAGACTTTGTGTCCACTCTGTTGATGAAAACACTTTGATATTCTTTGGACAAAGTTGAGACAATTGATGGTATAAAATCTCAGTAAGGTCAATGAGTTCACCCAATCTACAAGTGACTTCAATATCTTCTTTAAGAGAGAAATGACCTTGCTTACCTAGCTTCTTTCCCTATAATTTTCAATTAATTCCCTTCAGTAAATTCCATTGATTTCTCATGTCATAGAATCATTTTCTGAGACCTTACATTAAGTCCTATACCATTGTCTTCCAGTCTGTTAGTCTCGTGAGGAGTCAAAATATGAAAAATTACAGAAAAATTGTTCTAGAAAGTAAGAAGTAAGAAAGTAAGAAGATAGAGTCTTTAACCTTCTAGAAATCAGGGTTTCTCCTCCCAGAAAATCTTAATCTTAAACGGACACGAGCCAGATAAGCTCCTGGAAGCAAGTTAAAGTGGTTTCCCTTTGACAATGTGTTCCTTTTTGTGGCTTGTTTTTTTTACAGGTAGTGATGTACTGATTGGCGACATCTTGGTCCTTGTTGGGGCTTCCCTCTATGCCATTTCTAATGTGTGTGAAGAATACATTGTGAAGAAGCTGAGCAGACAGGAGTTTTTAGGAATGCTGGGCTTATTTGGAATAATTATCAGTGGCATACAGCTGTAAGTCTAAACTTTTCCTTAAAAACAAAATAAATATGTCATAGATGATTATTTCCTAACTATTGATATCCATTGTTTATTTGGCCCAGATTCACATGTAAAATCAATAACTTGCTAAATGTATATTAGAGGATTTTTAAAATGTCAAGAATTATGTCTCATTTTCTTATACATGTGGTAGAGGCATTACCATTAAAGACTTTATCAGTTATTTCCAGAAAATGTTAACTTCCTATCCAAAGGGAAAACATAATGTCATATTTTCCTCCTACAGCTGACTACTGTTGAAGGCTTTAAGGGAGTCAAATATGTTTATGGATTCTTTTGGTGTTAATATTTGTCACTTTTATAAAAAAGATATTTTATACTCTAAGAAAAATTAAAAAGTCAACATAATTTCTCACTTTATCTGAAGTATAGCAACTAAATGCTTATAAAATTGTAAAAATTAGTATATGGATCTCTCTGTGACCTCTTGTTTTAATCTTAGATTGCTCGTGGAATATAAGGATATTGCCAGCATTCATTGGGACTGGAAAATTGGTATGTACATAAGTCATCTTTCTTTTTATCAGTATTTTTCCCTCTGACAAAAACACACATCAAGAAACAAATACTTTATTTTAATAATATTTAGGCATTATTGTAGAATCAGATTAATTCAGTACACAGAGAGCTATAGTGGTTTGCATTGAGTTTTCTGAGGGCTTATAAACGAACCTCCATAGAAGTTAATTTTTAATCTTTACCTTCAGGAATAGCCTTTCGTTACTAGGAATTCTGAATAAGACAGGCCTTTGTCAGATTACCTTTCATTTACATCTGTATCTCAAGCCTTCAGACTTTTTGTGAAGATTGTCTACTTGACCACTCAATACCCTGTTGGATTTTTGAAGTCCTTCACCTACATCACATCTTGTTTTTATTTTTATTTTTCCTGAGAGTGTTGTATGTCTCATTCGTAATGCTGATATTAACAAGGGGCTTTTAGATAGTATGTTAAAGGATTAGGAGATTTTATATGGCAGTGAAGTCTTAAGCACCTTGCCTTTTGATTTCTTCCTGTAATAATAGATTCTCCATGTCTTCACAGCCCTGCTCTTTGTGGCATTTGCCCTCTGTATGTTCTGCCTGTACAGCTTCATGCCACTGGTGATTAAAGTTACCAGTGCCACCTCTGTGAACCTCGGCATTCTGACAGCTGACCTCTACAGCCTTTTCTTTGGGCTCTTTCTCTTTGACAATAAGGTAAGAAAATAGAAATTATGTTCAAATAAGAACACTTGCTTAGTCCAGAAGAAATAGTGGGTTTCTTCAAGGTTTTAGATTAAAAATAAAACCTTATCCTCTTGGCAAGAATTTCATTGGACAGCCCTCACTTCTTTTGTTACTGCTTTTGAATTAGAAAATTGGCCCAAATTAGACTTGTTCTAGGTTTTTCTAAAAGGTGAAATACAATGTATTTCCTCTTTGGAATGACTCAGGAAACTTTTACATGGAAATGCAATGAATTTCCTCTTTGGGATGGCCCAGAACACTATTACTTGGAAATGCAATGGATTTCCTTTTTGGGATGGCCCAAGACACTATTGCATGGAAATGCAACGGATTTCCTCTTTGGGATGGCCCAGGACATTATTGCCTGGCCATGCTAATGCATGTTGCCTGATGATACACAAGGAATCTCAGAGCTACTGTTGACTTTGAGAGACCATCTAACCTAAGCTGGGCATCCTGAGCTTTCTTTTTTCCCTCAGATTTATTGAGATATAATTGACATGTGTAAATTTAAGGTGTACAAAATGTTGATTTGATACACTTACATATTGCTAAGCCTTAGTACACAGATAAAGTCTGTGGTACCTGATGGAAGGGAAGGGGATCATTGTATTATGCATGCAGTGGTTGGAATGGTTCCATTTTTGATAGTAATTTTATATCTGGAAGGGACCTTAAAGGTAATTCAGTCTAGTGGTTTTTCAGACTTCTGTCTCTGCAGCCTTACAGCATTCACAAGTATAACCAGCTCCCATCAGTAACAGCTCTTGTTACTTGTAGTAATTCTCAAGGACAGTGGGGTGAGAGGGAATGGATCAGTGTCTTCAAGGGGAGTAAGAGAGCAAATATAGCATTTCCAGAGAGTCTGATACACTTTCCCTTGAAAATTACAGAATGAGGATGTAGGGAGAAGATGGTAGTGGACAGGACTGGAGGGAGGGTGAGTGTGTGAGAGAGTGAGCAAGTGTGTGAGAGGGTGTGAGTGGATGTGAAGCAGGACAACCAAACTCCTGCAGTGCAGAGACGTGGACTAGAAGGTTCCTGTGCTGTGGAGGGCAGCAGCTGGCTGCCATGGTAAGTGGCTCTTCAGGCCGCTTCTCCCTGAACTGCAGGGAGTCCCACCATTTTGGAAGGTCCTGGATCTTCCCTAGAAGGAGGCAATGGGAGTGGCTAGGGCCCAGCAACGTGAGCCCATCAGTGCACCTGGCACCATCGGACCAGTGGACACTCTGTGTCAACACAGACCAGTGCACAGTAGTGGTGCTCCCAAGGTGCTGGTAGGGGAAGCCTCAGACAGCTGGGAGCCCAGCACCATCCACCACAGTAGCAGTCTGATCAGAGTCAAGATATACACCCAGCAACAGAGGCTAGGGAGCAGACATCCATCCTCAGGCAACAGAAGCACAGACCAGCAGCTGAGACCCATCCCCAAAAACTACAATAAAAGCTGAGCAGAAGTTGAGCCCCATGGGGCAGCACTCTCCAGCCACCAGCGATGGGACCTGGGGCTCCACAGAGGCCTGTGCGGTCCAGCAGCTCACAAAAGCAGTGGGAAACCGGAGCCCGAGAGGGACTGGTGCGATTCAGTTGCCTGCCCACAGGACCTGGAGGGTGCAGGGGCACCAGAGAGGCTTCTGCAACCTAGTAGCTTATAAGATAGGCATAGAGCCTGGTCCCCAAAGGGACTGAGCCAGAGAGGCCTGTGCAACTCCGCAGGTACTGTGTGATCCAGTTATCTGCAGGATCTGTGGGGTGCTGAAACACCAGAGAGGCCTGTGTGACCCAGCAGCCCATAAGATAGGCATAGATCAAGCCCACTCCACAGTGCAGAGAGCTGGGACAGAGCACTAAAATAGCCACAGCCACTCACCTGGGGGCTACAGCAGAGGGAGGGCAGACTGAGCTGGAACTATGTGGGGACACCCGGGATTTAAAGGGCACTCAGAGGTTTTGGTGAGTTGCGGCCACAAAGGATGGTGGCCAGTGTGCTCCTTCCTGAGCTGTCGGGAAAAGCAGCAGCCCCCGCCCCTCAGAGATTCAGCCTTTCCCAGGTGAGACAAAAATGCAAATTGAGGCTCCTTAACAAAAAGCATCTATCCCACTCTTTGGAAATCCTCTTATGCAGAACACCAGGGCTACATTCCAAGGCACTGAGTAACTGAGACTACTAGCCTACAGGAAAAAGCTAGAGGATAACTGAACCATTCCTGGGCTTACAGTTCTACCCAGGAAAGTAAGACTTGACAGTGGTGTTTAACATGGGCCCACCGAGGCATATCCAAACCCAGTAGAGGGAGCCACAAACAGCAGAACCCCAACACCCACAGGGAAGATTTGCAGGCTCCAAAACCCACTGAGATAGCCAAAATGATGAAACAATAAAACAAATCCCAAATGAAAGAACAAGAGAACTCTATTGAAGATGAGATAAATGAAATGCAGCTAAGCAAATTATCAGGGGTAGAGTTCAGAGTCATGATCTTAAGGAAGCTCTACAGAATATGTACGGACATCAGCACCATGAGTAAAAATATAGAAACATTGAAAACCAACCAAGTGGAAATGAAGAATTCCATAGCAGGAATAAAGAACACATTGGAAGGACTAAACAGCAGAGTAGAGAAAACTGAGGACCAGATCAGTGAATTAGAAGACAGGGTAGAAAAAATCAACCAATCAGAAAACCTAAAGGGAAAAACAATTAAAAAACAGGAAGATAGCATAAGAGAATTGTGGGACAAATGGAAATATAATAACATTCACATCATAGGAGTCTCCAAAGAGGAAGAAAATGGGCAAGGGCTAGAAAATATATTTGAAGAAATAGTGACAGAAAACTTTCCTAACTTAGTGAAGGAAGGAGGCATTCAAGTTCAAAAAGCACAGAGAGCCCCAAGTAAGAAGAACCCAAACAGGCCCACACCAAGACACATAGTAATTAAAATACCAAAAATTAAAGACAAAGAGAAAATCCTAAAAGCAGCAAGAGATAAGCAACAGGTTACCTACAAAGGAAACCCCATAAGGCTCTCAGCTGACTTCTCAACAGAAACACTATAGGCCAGCAGGGAGTAGCATAAATTAATCAAGGTCATGAAAAACAAGGATCTGATCCAAGACTACTCTATCCAGCAAGGCCATCATTGAAAATAGAAGGTGAAATTAAGAGCTTTCCAGACAAAAAAAAAAAAAAAAGGTGAAGGGAATATATTAACACCAAACCACCACTGCTAGATATGTTAAAAGGACTACTATAATTAGTACAAAAAATGGGAAGAAAAATAGAACCATACTAAACAAAAATGGCAATAAATAAGTACATATCAATTATCACCTTAAATGTGAATGGTTTGAATGCTTCAATAAAAAGAAACAGAGTAGCTGACTGGATAAGAAAGCATGACTCACATATATGCTGTTTATAAGAGACCCACCTCACAACAAAAAACTCACATAGGTTGAAAGTGAAAGGATGGAAAAAAATCTTTCAAGCAAATAGAAAGGAAAAAAAAGATGGGGTAGCACTACTCATATTTGATAAAATAGATTTCAAAATGAAGGCCATAACTAAAGACAAAGAAGGCCACTACATAATATTGAAAGGATCTATCCCACAGGAAGATATAACTTTGGTAGACATATATGCACCCTATATAGGAGCACCAACATATATTAAAAATCTTCTGGAGGATTTCAGGAAAGAAATCAACAGCAATACAATCATAACAGGGGACTTCAACATCCAACTCACATCACTGGATAGATCATCTAGACAAAAATTTAACAAGGAAATACAGACTCTAAATGAAGTGCTAGATCAAGTAGATTTAATAGATATCTACAGAGAATTATACCCCAAAATTGCAGAATTCACATTCTTCTCAAGTGCACATGGGAAATTCTCAAAAGTAGACCACATATTAGAGCACAAACTAAGTCGCTACAAGTTCAAGAAGACTGAAATCATATCATGCATCTTCTCAGATCACAATGGTATGAAACAAGAAATCAATTGCAACAAGAACATGCAAAGACATTTGAACACATGGAGGCTAAACAGCAAGTTATTCAACAATGAATGGGTTACCATGGAGATCCAAAAAGAAATTAAACTTCCTGAAACCCAATGAAAATGAACAGACAACAATACAAAATCTATGAGATGCAACAAAAGCAGTTATGAGAGGGAAGTTCATAGCACAACAGGCCTACCTCAAGAAACAAGAAAAATTTCTAAGAGACTATCTAACCTCACAATTTAAAGAACTAGAAAACAAGCAAACAAAGAATACCCCAGAGCAAGTAGAAGGAAGGAAGTAGTAAAGATCAGAGCAGAAGTAAATGACCTGGAAACAAACAAACAAAAAAAAACAATTCAAAGAATCAATGAAACAAAGAGCTGGTTCTTTTCAAACAGCTGGTTCTTTGAAAAGATAAACAAGATTGATGGACCCTTAGCTAGACTCACCAAGAAACTAAGAGAGAGAACCCAAATACCAAAATCAGAAATGAAAGAGGAGAAATAATAACTGACACCACAGAAATACAAAGGATTGTTAACAAATGTTATGAACAATTACACAGCAACAAATTAGACAATCTAAGTGAAAAGGACCAATTTCTAGAAACACATAGTTTCCCAAAACTGAACCGGAAAGAGAGAGAAAACTTGAACAGACCAATAACAACAGAAGAAATTGAAGATGTAATCAAGACTCTCCCAGCAAACAAAAGCCCAGACCTGGACAGCTTCACAGGGGAGTTTTAGTGAACATTCAAAGATGAACTAACACCCATTGTCCTTAAACTGTTTCAAAAAATTTAAGAAAAAAGAAGACTTCTAAACTCGTTTTATGAGGCCAGGATAATTCTAATTTCAAAACCAGAAAAAGACACTACAAAGAAAGGAAGCTACAGGCCATATCCCTGATGGACATAGATGCCAAAATCCTGAACAAAATACTAGCAAA